GGTCGTTCTGGCGTATCGGTGCTATCGTCTGGTTGAGACGATTCGCTAGGAGTATTTGGTTCAGCGTCGCGCAAAGCCTCACAAACGGCGCTGAGCGAATTGCCGAGAGGGTTTTTCTCGATAGTCTCGAGCTCCTCCCGGGTTAGATGAGCCATTCTACAGGCTATAGGAGAACGCGCAGCATTAGTGGAATGCGAGATCAACAAAACGATCAGGGCGTGCCCATCCCGTCACAAGGAAATGGTTCAGAAAAGGGAGCTCCAGGACAACAGTAACAGGGGAAGTGCTGAGTAAGCCCAACTGACGCAGGTTTTTTCCAATGGCCCGTTTTCTGCAGCCTGATTGGCTGCCGAGCATGTTAACGGGGCATGGATAAAGCTACCCGTTGGTCAAGGTGTGGGGCCCACCCCTCCAAACTTGCGATGTTTTGTGTTTTGCACCGCTTTCTAAGCCCCGTCGACCCGCGAAGGCGGCTTACTTCCTAGAACGCATGCTCTCATCCAATTGTTAGATAGGAGCGAACCGCAACCTCGGGTCTGAGCTGATGCACCTAATCAATTGTTCCTATTTATCACCGTCGCCCATGGCGAGTGAGAACAATCGGACAACGGATGATCTCTCTCAGGACAATCGTCCCGCAAAGCAGCATAATCGGTGGCACTTGGGTCACCCGCCACAATTGGGAATGGTGCATGTTCGCGCATAACGGGATTAGAATGCACCCTTTGCGGAAGGTCCATGAATCTAGGATCCTTGCTTTGCAGCACAGTTGTATATCAGCCATTCAAGTAGTACTCACACGCCTGCACAAGTCAGCGCGGAGGAGCTTTTTATATCAGCTGCCTATAATTTTGTGCATTTGCATACTGTACGGTACCACCCAAACTTACATACCACGCATGCCAAATGCACCGTCTGGCCAATCAGGTGCCCGTACCATGTCCCACTTATTTTGTTCTCTTAAACTCTCACCCCATGATGAACTAAGGAAAGTTGAGGCATGGAAAGGGCATCGGCTTGCTGAGCGAATCACATGGGAGTGTTACCCCCATTTGAAAGTCCCGCAATCACAATTTCTGGGCACGTGAATAACCTCCTAAGCAATAGGTCGGACCCCCAAGGTTTTTTTAGAGCGACATCGATGACTTAGCTTTCTGCCGGACTGGCTTCTCCCAGCCACTAAAGATTTCATCCTACCTAGCTGAGGAGCAGCCGTGTTTTCCATCAGCGTTTCGGCCAGCGACTATCACCAGACTTATTTCTCCCTCGCCCCGCGCACCCTTACCATACCTCCTCCTACGATCGCACTTAACATATTTATTACAGGCACAGGAAGTGCCTCTAGTATTGTAGGCTTGACTGAGCCTTCGACCTCTGTGCAATTAGTCCACCTCATTCTCGCAATATAGTAATCGCCACAGCCAAAGTAAGTTCTAGGACAAGCCTCCATCCATCCTACAGCTTACCACGCTGCTCATATACTATATAGGCGATAATCACATTCCTCTCCCCACACTCATATGCTTTCAGCTCTTGTCTAAAAGACCGTCGCGCATTCACCCACTAGGTCTGCTTTGCGAACAATGGCGTGTAGAGAAGTAAAACCATGCAGTGTTCCTGGCCTTAACGAGACTTTGAAAGTCCAGGACTTGGAGGAAAGCCGTAATATGTAAGTAACGGAGGCTCTGAAGTAGTCGATTGTTAACTAATTTGCATAGTTACAACCTGCTCCCAGACGATTCACAACAACCGGAAATCCTCGAGTCACACATACACGATCTTGCTGCACTCTTCGTTCGAAATCGCGCTGATGGAATCCTCGGCATCCATTTAGCTCATGCCCACTTTACCATCCCTGAGAACACCGCTATACTCGGTATTAACTACGATAAGCCTTCCTGTCGCTGGGCCAGACCCATGGCCATCCGAACTGTGGATCTCAGCAACGTACACGGGCACATATTCGTTCTCACAAACCACGGTTTCCACCCATACGAGTATCAAATAGGCCCTGGACCCGATTTGTCCGGAGTTGATAGCGCCTTCCTCTCGGAGCTCGCTGATTATCTGAACACAAATAATCTATCAACTCTTGTTGGACTGCAGGTCATTGGCCAGAATCCCGCACACATGTTAGAGCTCGTCCTCCCTCAAGGAACTGTCATGCTGGATGTCTCGAATTTGAACGGATGTGTCCCCTCTAGGCAAACTGGCTGGAAGTTCGAACTTGATAACGGTGAGCCACGCGTATGTACAGCAAATGAGATGCATGGCACGCATGAGAACGGGCATAAGATTTACAACGAAGGTGCGCCTTATCCAAAGCTGGCAACTTTTCAGGACGTCAAGAATGCACTTGTAAAGGCTGGAATTCTTTCTGTAGCTTAGCACCACTTATCGTATTGAATTTCAAGTACATGTCACTAGCAGGTGGTACTTCCAGTACGATTCAAGAGACACAATTGGGCAAGTTAGAAAAGGTATGTTTCGCAAACCATACAATAACGACCCACGTTAGTTTAACAGAGTGTTAGACCTCTCTTCGTAGCCCTTCTGCGCCTTTCGTCAGCGTGTATTTATAATCTAGTTTCTTGCCACGTTCGCCCAAATATGTGCCCATTTCTTGGGAGACCCAAGCCGTGAGGAACGATGACTCAGTTTTGAGGATCGGATTCGTTAGGAAGATTGACCGAACACCTTCGTCATAGGACAGAGCGTATCGTGCGTCTTCTATGGTGAGGGCGAAGACGTCTCCTTGACTTGCCGATTCCGTGTTTGTCTTTTTTCTCATCGCAGCTTTTGCAATCAGATAAGTTTGCCATTTGTAGAGAAACGCAACACACCTTGACTCGGCCATGCCTTGCCGCCCTCTGCAACCTGACTGTTCACAGAGCGGTTAACTGATTCCCTTCCGTGTACCGGGTTCCGTTGCTCACTTTCGTCTTCGGTACGCCGCCGTTTTCTCTGTTGTACTGGCTTTCGTAATGGATCGTCAATTGCTACCCATGATCAGATTCTTACACCGTTCTCTCCGTCCTAGCATACTAACCTTTAAGAAAAACGTCGTATTCAGGAGACCGGCGTAAAGATTCTTCATCTTCCAAGAGCAGGTGCAATGTCTCTCGTATCACCAACGGCCATGTCTGGAGCAGCTCGGGCTCTATGTCGTCAAGGAGGCAGGTGAATACATCCGAGGCCATCGAACCTCCAGCCCAAAGGGTAGGTGCGAAAGAAAGTGCCCATGAAATTATCCCATCAGGACTCAAGCGTCGGATGAGCTCGCATCTCTTGCGGGTAGATTCTTTCCGGAACTTTACGTCCTCGGAATCGAACCTGGAGTCTTTCGGGCCCTCAAATATGGTAACGATGTTTCTCCTGAAGATGACTGGTTGTTTCAATCGACCTTTCGCGAAAAGATCGCCCGTCGATGCCTGCGCTTTAGACCTATGTTTCTCGCTTTCCTTCCACGCTCGCTCTGATCGCGATTCCTTTAGCACACGGATGCTCTCCTGAACCGCTTTCGACGCTCCTGAGAGCTTTAGACTCAAGTCGCTCAAAGTGTCCCACTGGTCATCTGTTGGATAGGCCTTAGACAATTTCCCCTTTAATTGTTGGGTCTTTTCAAGTAGACTTTTCAACTGTGAGAGCACAGCAGTTGCCGACATTGTGAAAGTGGTTAGGGATGGGCGCATGTGGAGGAGAGGCGTGGAAGGCATTTGTTTAAAGAGGGGTTCAAAATCGCAAAAAGTTGGGCACTTGCTCTACTTATGCAGGTCTGCAGAACTTGGGCACCGACCGTAGCCGTCGTCATTATGGAAGCCTCAGCGTAGCCACCCTGTCGCTGCATACTCCAAGCAACCGATGTCTCACCACCATCTTATGCGGACTGTTTATATCTGCATGCCAAACTGGGGATGTTTAATGGTTGCACCATGAGCAAGGGCCTAACCGCGGAAGCAATCACTTTGCATGTCAGAAGCCCGTGATATTGTCTCAGCTTCGCATGCATCTCGACAGCTTGCAGGAGCAGCTGCATTTGCAAGGACCTGTGTTGGTTCACCGATACTGACCTTACCGGATGTCCTAAACCTTGTAGTGCGACAAGACGGCTCAGGGAACACGTCCTGGTCTCAAAGGAGTAATACGCGAGCTTTCGTTTATGCGAGGATGTAACCTCCAGGGTGATATGGCTTGCAGAAGAGCTGTTGGATGCTCTTCACATTGCTGAGCCGGAGATTAAATCAAAGTTCTCTAGTTCTCCCGGTGGTAGCAGAAACTGGTAAGGTGTTGTTGTCTCGGAAATCAGGTAAAATATCTAATATCTATAAAAGGCCAGCTCAGTTCCTCTCCGGTGGATGCTCAACTCAAGAACAGAGCTTACTCTCCTACAAATAATTAATCTTCCTCGAATCCACTAAACGTTGATAAATTACTACAATGTCGAATTTCGCGAACAGAAGCTTTCCCTGGACACGGAAAGTGCAGAGCTCATCCGAATCACTCCATCTGTTGGGCATCCTCAGGCCCGACTCTTCTTTACTATGGTTTTCTCAATTCCTTTCTTGGGGACTGAACAGTTATGCCCCTCTGATGTGCGTCTTTGGGCTTGTGGCGTTTTTGAAAACCTATTATGACAAGCTGCAATCATTGATCGACCACTATTTCAGTAAGTAATTTGTCTACAGGTGCAAGAGCAAAGCAATCCTCTGACCTCACTTAGCTGTAACACTCCATGTCAAAGCTACAGACGAGTCGTTTGACATGCTTATGGCCTGGGTCTCGTCTCGTGAAGTTGACAATGCAGCAAGATCGATTATTGCTTGGGTAGGTGGAAAGTCCAGAGGGGGCGTTGAAGAAGGCGATAAAAAACCGATTTCCTTTTCTCCATGGATCGGGTCGTTTTCTTTTCCATTTAAGTGCAAAACCCTTGCATTCGAAATGCAAACTGTCGACAGGGGGTTGCACAAAGAGGAGGTCATCACCATCAGTTGCCCAGGTAGATCGGTGCAAGTTCTTAAAGAGTTCATTGGAGAATGTCGACACGAATACTTGGAGCAAATTGGAGGCAAGATAACAATTTTTAAAAACTCTGGCGACTACTGGAAGAGAATATCAACAAAGGAAAAACGGCCGCTTGACACTGTCATTATCAGCAGCTCGCTTAAACAAGAGTTAGTTGACGACTTGAAGAATTTTCTAAACGAAGAGACTCGTCATTGGTATATTCAGCGCAGCATTCCATATCGAAGGGGGTATCTGCTTCATGGTCCGCCTGGCACTGGAAAGTCAAGCCTCGGCTCGGCATTGGCCGGGGAATTTAACCTTGACATATACATCATTAATGCCCCCAGCGTGGATGACCAGATGCTGGAGCATCTGTTCAATAACCTTCCTGACAGATGTGTTGTTTTGCTGGAGGATATTGATGCCATTGGGACGGATCGACAGGGTCCGGGCAAACCTCGAAAAGCGGCACTCTCACTGTCAGGACTCTTAAACACCCTGGATGGCGTTGCATCTCAAGAAGGACGGATTTTAATCATGACTACAAATCATGTCAACAATTTGGACGAAGCGCTCATAAGACCGGGCCGTATTGACGTGAAGCTTGAAATTCCGTTGGCAGATTCAGATGTGACCAAAAACCTGTTCAGCTTTGTGTTCGGACCCGATAAACGACATGACGCCATTGATGATGAGATAATTTTGGAACTGAGAAGTCTTGCAGGAGATTTTGCCAAGAAAGTCCCAGAGCTCAAATTCAGCACGGCGCAGATTATGTCTTTTCTCTTGAAGCATAAGAACTCGGCTGAAGACGCGTTGAAGGAGGCCAATAGTTGGTTCGGAGTTGCAGCAGGCGAGAAACAAGTCAAGGATGGAGAAGGAAAGTGTAAAGACTCTATAGAGTCCCCTCAACATGCGGAAGACGGCTTGTGGATGAAAAGTGGTAACAAGGAGAAACCCTCTGAGAACCGACTAAAGAGGACCAAGAAGTTTCCCGATTTAAAGCTCGTTATACCGTAAGACCTTCTCCATAAAAGACGATCATCCATACTTTGCAGCTAACCAGGATGCAGCGTCTCTCCGCCTCCGTCGCTTTGTGCTTCCACACCTCCCTTGAGTGCCGTCGGTGACTCAATTGTCCGTGGAACTTCCGCTTCGTCTGATGCTGGTGTTGGAACCGAGCTGGATCTAGTTGTCCCGGATTATTGCAGCAAGCCCGGCTGCGACCATAATGCTCGGGTTTGGGACACTGATATAGAGTTTCACTTGGATCATGGTGCTCGTAAGATGACTGAAGATGACCGCCGTGATTTAGGCATCCAAGGCTGGAGGAAGGAGAAGCCATCTTATGACAAGGCCTCTACACCTGACGTTGAAGATCGTTGGCTAGAGACTAAGCCACAGCATGGCAACGGACCTTTCCACCCAGTCGGGGAGTTAAATAAGGCTATCATCGTCACCACCTCTATTGAACAGACTACCAGCCCCAGCACTGGGTCAATGGCGACCAGCAAGGTTCAGACCGATATCATAGCGATGCGTCCCACCACTCTTCATGATATTCCTTCCGCTCTACCGTCTCTCGATCTGGGCACTCCGGATCATCTATTTGGATCTCATCCATCTGATGCAGTTGAGGGTGCTCCTGGACAGATCAACGGGTCAGCACTTTTATTTGAACTCTTGACAGCACCCACAACCCGCCGGAATGAACATCTCGTCGGGGATTCTGACAAGAATAGAGAGCTGAATATCAGCAGCGCAATCAAGGGCGTACAAAATATTATTCCTGTGGATATATTTCCAGGAATGGGCCAGGAATGGCGTATGCCCGATGCCGCTGATGGGTCGCAGGGCACCGGTCTTGCCATAAATCTAAACCCGAGGGGCTGTAACAACGCTGATGAAACTGGTTGGGTGAAGGTAGTCTCAAATGTTCATTCAATGGAGATTGAAGGCCTAGGGCAAGAAGCAGGTCGCCCGGTAGATGCGCCCGAAGCGTAAGACTGCCGCCAACACCGCGCGGATATGTGTATTTATTGTTTATGCCATCGACAGATAGTCATGGTTGCCGTCAATCCACTCGTTAGCTTCAATCAGATCGAACAGTTCACCGCCCAAATCATGTCCTACCTTTTGGGGCACAAGGATTGTCCCAAAATCGCGGCACAAGGAGCCACGAATTGGGCTGGGAGAGAGAGAGGAGAAAAGCAAGGGAAATCCAGGAAGACGATCTCAAAATTTCTCGTGACGGAACCCTTGGGCGAGGGCTTATGAAAAGTGATAGGGACAAAGAGAGGGAGGTTTGAAGAGGGCCGAGTCACAGTGAGTTGTACAGAGGCTAGAAGGCCTTTGGAGATGAAAATCAGCTCATCGATTTTTTCGGCACCACGAGCCGGCAAGAAAGTCCTGGACACACTCTCCCAAACGTTTCTCCTGACTGGCAACCTCCAAAAGCCACCTACGAACTTCAAGCCAACGATTCTGTAATAGTATCGAGCGCGACCAATTCGGACCGTGCTGATACGTCTGATTGAGTAAGGGTGGAATAGGGAAAGAGAACCTTCTGGGCCAAATGGACAATGTATAAAGAGAGTTGCGTTGACCAGAGTTGTCAGCAATGCGCTACGAACTATGGGATCGTGACATCTCATTTCAAATGACATTGACCTGTTAGAAGGCTTGTAGCGTCCACTCATTTAGCTGAATATACGCACTAGTATTTCCTAGCATCTCGACAACATGGTCTGCGGAATGATCCATGCCGTGTGGCTGGTAAGCAAGAAACGCAGGCGAAGATGATGTTGTGAATGGGTTACATGAACTCAACCCCTGGACTGCATGGTGACATGAGCGGAAGTTCGGGGGCATGACGAGGCTTTGGTAATACCCGAGGGATGCCACGCTGAGTTCGAACGGGTATATAAAGAGGTCGCCCCCCATGACGCTGCGTGAAACTTTTTGACCTTAGTTTTATCGTCCCTCACAAATTTCATTGCCTTTGACTTGTAAGAGACGCGGACAGCCATAGCACTTCACGTGCTTCCACCCCTCAAATCTCATCAGCTTTCTAGGGCGGTACACCGACATGATGGCACAAACTGCGAGAGCTGGGTCCTTTCTTGATCGCCCGTGGCCGTTGGATGACGTGATATCGATCCCGTCCGATTCCGAATCTGACACAGATAGTGATGTCGAGGTGGTGGAACAAGATGTCCCGCGCGTGCACTTGGTACACAATCAACACCGTGACGACTCACTTCCTTCTATCTCTGCGATTGTGGCGTCCATGCTTAACGTCGGACACGGTCCAACAGAAGACGTCAGTAAGCAATTGCAAACCCAACTTCAAGGTACAGCAATGACAAACTCGAGCCTGGGGAGCTCAACCCAGGATCTTTGCTTAGCGGGGGAGCGAGAAAGTTCTGATTCATCAGCCTTAAACTCTCCGAGAGGTGTGATTTTCGTCTCAACAGTCCTCGATGACCCGGGGATCGCCACTGACTCTGATGAGTTGGTGTCTCCGGCAATACAACAACATAATGATGGCGTAAACTCGGTATTGCCTACATCTGTACGAAGACCTGGTGTCGTCTCGCTGGCCTCCGAGCGTCGGTCAGTGCAGTCCGCGCATGTGTTGGCTCCAAGGGATGAAGCACTGCAAGAGGAGAATGCAGAACCTCCTTGCCAGCCCTGCCTTGCATCCACGACCGCCCCCGTCCAGCCTTCTCAATCGCAGAATTGCATTGTCGTATCGTCAAACCAGTGCAGCCAGATTCATAGCGTCAATACTGACCACGGCCACATTGAAGACATGGTTTCGCGGAGCGACGACGAATTGCATAGTGTAGCTCGACCCGCCTCGGCCCAAGCTCCTCCGTCAGAATGCAGCCGCGCAGTCTCGTGTCGAGGGGGTTTGATGGTGGGCGTTCAGGAACACCAAGCAGCAGATAATATTCTGCCCATGGACTCTCGTCTGAGCTCGTCGCCAACTGGTCAAGGATGGGATGAGGAGTGCCAGACAAATATCAGTGCCAACTACACAGTGAGCCAGCCTGAAGAACCCTGCGAAGAAATGGAAAAGCAGTCGTCTCGTCGTCGTGGCTTCAGAAAAGCTTACAACCTTCGGCGCCTCCCGGTCAAAAGACAACTCACCGCGGAACAAAAGGACGGCGGGTCTAACGAAAAGCTTGTGCCACAGCGCAAACGTCGCAAGTTTACATGCCCTCAGCCTAAGAAGCGTGGTTCACAGCAAGGCTCGGGTCCAAGGCGAAACCGAAAAGCACGCTTCTTGAGGAAGAATACGACGAAAAGCAGCAGCAACGCGTCTGTTGCAAACACACAAAGGCCTGCCCATGCCGGTGTTGCGGGGTACGAGGCATGGCCCCTTGGCAATCCGGTCCTAAAATGCATTAAAGAGAACGGCACTGTTATGTTCCAACTACAGTTTACTAGTGATACTTTGTGGGATACACTAGCTGCCCAGAACGATCCAGTCCCGAACGGTGACCAAGCACCAAACGAAGTCGAGGACCAGAGACTTAGAGCGCAATCCAATCAACATACTGAAAATATAGCGCAGCAGTCCCTCCAAGCCGCGTACCCAAGTATCTATCCCGACATTTACCGGATGGATCGCCTGCTTGCTCGATGGAGGCGACACACTTTCCTCGTGAAATGGTCAGATGCCACCACGACCTGGGAGTCGAGAAAACACATCATAGACAAAAGATTGCTCGATAGGTTTGAGGCGAGTTGGCAAGGTTTTGACGCAGGCGTGGATGTTTTGGGGGCCCGATTGAGAGCTGGGAAACTTCAACGCCTTTTGCATTGGCATGGTCGGCCGTCCAAAGAAGATACATGGGTACGCAGTGAGCTTCTCAGCCCACAACTCATACGGAGGATTCAGTCAAATGAGGTAAATGGTGCTCATATTTGAAACCATAGTTTGTTTGGGTAGGGGAAGTAATCTAGGCTTACTGTAGTCTTTTGTAAATAAATATAAATAGTTTGTCTCTTCCAAAATATGTTACCTTCTCGTTTGGATGTGGAGCGGTCCACTCGGATCAAAGCTTGAATAGTTGACACTTAACATACACAAAAGAAACCTTTTGCTAGTTTAGGCAGCTGTAGCCACTAGGCTGGATATGCGACATTGTGTTCATGGAGCGGGCCAGTCAAGGGTGCAAGGCTCCGCCTACGTCCGTCACCTTGAGTGATGCCAGCACTGATATTCGAATGGGGTCCGGCACACTGTAGTGCATAAAAACTGCACGGCTCTATCATTTAACTAGTCGAACTTATATAGCAACCTCGCGGAATGTAATTCCATCACCGTCAGAATTTTTCGAGCCAACAGCTTCCAGCCTTCCAGCCCTAAATCCCTGTTATTATAGTCTAATGCAGTTTTTCTAATTACTGGCGGGTACAGTTTCTCCTTTAGGTCGATGGTGAGTATAGGGTAGGAGTTGTGAATGTTTGCCATACCAAGTCGGGAGACGAGACGGGAAAGGACGGATCATCCGTAGACTTGTAGTCGTAATGTTTTTGTTTCCGCCGCACGAGTAGGTAAACATCCGCATCATAACGCCGGCTTAATTGGTCGCATCGTTTCATAAAACGAAAAGTTGCTCTAGCAAAATTGTCATTTGTCCGATCTCGTTTACTGACTGAAGGCGGATTCATTTCTAGAGAAGGTATAGAGTGCTGTAGCCGGCTGGTCTCGAGTCTCAGCCTGCCACCAATCTGGTGGGTGGCTTATATGGCTAGTCATTGTTGGATGAAAGCTCTTTGGTCGGGAAGTAAGGCCCTTGGCGAGAGCGGAACGCATGCTCTTGTAAATGATCCAGTTTAAGCCTTATTTGTTCCTTCTCTCCTTGCATTTTACGGAATGCAGCGTGCCACTTAGCTGCCCCGGTTGTGACTGTAATGGCTGTCATGGTTCGTTATTATTGTGAGGTTTTTCGAAGCCATTGTTGGCTGGAAGTATATGCTCTAGATCGGAAATGCACGATAGCGCTGGAGCGGTTGCCTTGTCGTGGAGCCGATGTGGGCAATCATGATTCGAGCACTTCCCGTTCACGCAGAATGTGACGTGTCTGGTGTAAGCGCTAAGTCGGACGTACCTGGCCATGAACTGGACGGCATGATGTGTGGATTTATTTGCGCTGGGGGTCAAGAATGGGAAAGTCGAATTACGACACTCTGTTGCTCGTGCTTCCAGACCTGATCTGGTGCAACTCCCACTAAAATAAAACGACAGTGGCCTGATTAGTACTTGTAGGCAGCGTTATCCGAGATTGGGACATCTCAATTGTGGGCACGCAAGGAGCTCCTAAAATATATTTACATGCATATATCGATAACGGGATCCAACTCGATAATCAATTAATGCTGTAAAACTTCGCTCGGGACAGGAGCGCTGGCTGGGTTGGAATCAACACACGTGACCACTGGACTGACACCAAGTTACCTCAGCAGGGCTCAGGCTATTTCCAAGAGGAGTCTAGCGCTTCCGTATTAGGACTAGTGCTGATGGTCACGTTACTTTTACAACTCCTCGAGTAAATAGCCTGAGGATTCTGTCCAACGCACGCACTGCTCTGCGGTCGTTTTGTATGTGTTTTTTGTGATTCGTGAAAATCCCAATTTTTCAAATTCGTCGGTAGCCACACCAAAACACATTGTAATCGCTCACAAATCTAATCAATTGTGTATCTAGGTATATTCTATCTATATATGCGCTTTTTTAAACTCCCAATACTTGTGTCCTGTGGAAAACACAAATAAGCGTCAAACAGAACCGCGTCAGAACCACCATCCATCCCCCATTCTCAGCTTTTGGGCGGAAGGAGCGAAGAGAAACACGATGCGAAGGTAGCAAGGCACCGCCTGATGCCCGGTAAGGCTTCCTCGGTCCAGATTTACGTGTTTATCGTGTTGTTGAGCTCGTGTCGTCTTCGCATGGAAAATGCGAAGCAGGGCGAGCTTTCGAAGACTCCGACGCGAGACCATAGACAGCTCAAGAGATTTTGTTCATGATGCTTATAACACCGGAAGCATGGTGGCCATACAGGATCTGGTTGAGAAGGCGAGACACGCGTCCGAGGAGGTGCAGAAAGGTATCATCCGCGCAGGCTTGCAGCGCCACCTGTATCCATTTGAGCCTCGTCAGAAGCAGATAGATGCAATATGGCATTTGGTATTCAAGAAGGAAGACCTCCTCCTTGCAGCCAAGACATCTTTCGGCAAGAGTGTCGTATTCCAGGCCGCACCGTTGTTTTGTCGTGGCGGTATTGGCCTTATCATCATCCCTCTAGATCGAATCGGACAGGAGCAGTGCATTAAGATCCAAAGACTCTCGGGAGCGAGATCCGTATTTATCAATGGCGGGACAGACAAGACTGACGTATTGGCTCAGGAGATCGAGACCGGCGTGTATACTCATCTCATCATGGGCCCAGAGATCGCGGCAGGTTGGTTTCGGTCAATAGCAAGCAGCCCATCCTTCAAAAAGCGCGTCTCAGTCGTGGCTGTGGATGAACTCCATTTGGTGGCACTATGGGGAAGTGGTATCCGTCCACAGTACGCACAACTCTCTCTCCTCCGCAGAAGACTAGGAGCGCGCATTCCTTGGTTTGGCTGTTCTGCTACGCTGGACCAGACAACATTGGATACTGCGAGGGAAATGACAGGCTTCCAGGCCAGCTGCGAGTTCTTTCGAACCTCTGTCGACAGGCCGGAGATCAAGCTGATCGTGGAGGCTATTGAGCCGCGAACAACGAAAAGGTTCACTAGTCTCTTCTTCGTTCTGCAGAACGCCATGACGAACGAGTTGCCAACGCCGGAGAAGATTCCGAAAACGGTAGTTTTCATAGATTCACGACGTGATATCCAAAAATGCGCAGAATGTTTACGAGACTGGTTGTGCAGACTGTCGGCAGGGGCCATCAGAGACCGCGACTGCAGAGAGATCATCCGGGTCTATCACTCACACACTACTCTGAATGATAAGGATGCCCTGTATAACGAGTTCTCCAAAGCGGATTCCAAAATTCGAATTATGGTTGCGACAGAGTCACTAGGAACTGGAGTGGATCTTTCGGATGTCATACGAGTCGTCCAATATGGCTTCCCTCTGGAGAGGCTCTTATGCGTTCTTATCCAACGGTTTGGTCGTGCAGCTAGAAAGGCCGGCATCAAGGGAGAGGCTATCTTCCTTGTGGAAAGCTGGGCTGTAGGCGATAGGATCGCGTCGACAAGAGCAGCGTTCTCCAGAAGTCAGATGCCGCCGTCTTTGAGACGGCCTTCTTGCACAAGCCGGTTAGCTCAACCCTGCCCCGTAGAGCCAGAAGTGGACGGCGATGTTCCAGACGACGAATTTGACGTTGTTGTAGACGTCATTGACGTCCCAGAAGAGCAACGTGGACGCGAGACAGAGAGGGAGCGGCGAACAGACCTGTACAATGACTGCCCCGCGCTGTACAATTTTGTCAACCGATCCGCTTGCCTCCGCCGAATCCTAATGGATTGGTTGCAGGAGGGTTTATCAGACCCAACGTCCAGGTTGCCACCCCCTGGGCTAGACGAGTGTTGTAACGTTTGCAATCCTACCCTGATGCGGAGAGTACCTTTCCCATGGGATATTGCTCGCAGTCTTCGGAAGCCCCACGCTGGAACAGCATCAGTCGCATTTTATAACCGCCTAGTTCTCTGGGGAAATAACGTTGTCAATTCGGCACATCAAACGGCGAAACCCGAGCTCTCTGTGAGGCTTTTCACTCAGAAGAGTGAGTGGGTATCATTGTCGACAGAATATGCTTACATCCACACGGCGGCTGAGTTAGAGGAGTTTGTTAAATCGAATTGGTTGAGAGACCATTCCGATGAACTCTTTGAAGAATTCAATGATATCAAGTCCTACGTGGTGAAGAACTGGCCCGGAGGTAGCAGGCCACGAATGTTAGAAACTTCAGGTCCAGTTTCAGTTGAATATCAAGAATTCTACAAGGGTCCAAAACGGAGAGAGTCACTAGAAAGGGAAGCTCCAGTCGCAATTGAGCATCCCACGTCTCGAGAGAAAACCGCGCGCTTCTTGCGTGAGAGAAATGAGTACATTTCCACGTTAGAGGGAAGTGTTGCTCGCGCGAGAGAGAATGCAGCATCACGTTCTCTCTGTTCGCCTGGCCGGGCGTCATTAGAAAGGCAGCCCGTGATTACCACTGAGCAACAGTCTCCACAAGCAGCGTTGCTCGAGAGACAAGTTCCTCCTACCACAAAGCAGACGGTGTCCAAACGAAGAGAGCCGCGAGTAAGAAGAGTATCGAACGAAGTGGAGATTCCGATGACTCCTTATCAAGGACGAAGAGCGTCATTCTTGCGCGAGCGAGAAGAGTTCGCTTCCTCGCTGCAGAGAATCATCGCCAAGGCAAGAGAGAACTCGGCCTCATGCTCTTCCTATCCATCTACCCCGACAATGGTCCCAGCACCAGCCAACACGCCATGCACATCCATCAGCGGGTTGATGACATCGACAAACGTAACCTCTTCTGCTGCCATATCTAATGTTTTCGAAGATAGTGAAAATGAGGTGCCCGGCGTGCTCGATGGCAATCGGTTGTTGAAACGTCCCTCCTCGAGTCGAGGTAGTAATGGCTGAATTGACGCCAAAATCAACCATAACAGCCTTTAAGGAAGAGTATTACTATTTGCACGGATAAAAATCTCTATTTGCACGGGAATGTCTCACTATGTTGACTCACCTGCCCCACCGTGGTGCCATCAATTTCTGGAAGGAATGTTGCTCGGCACAGGCGCAACAAGGCAAACTACCACCATATCGCTCAGTTGGGTCGCTGCATCATTTACAGCGACATACTTGGTGACACTACGACGATTGCACTGCGGAACACACGAGGCTATCAGAAAATTGACTCTTAAATTGATTTACTTTTGTATTCCTATTCTATGGAATTCTTGAGTTGTGAAGCATTAGGACGACGAAGTGTTCTGCCGGCTCCCTGTGCTTAACTCATGGCTGCCCTCACTCTGCTCCTCTCGTTGACGGTATCTCGGCTCTTCAAACCATGCTTCTTACAGTGGTCTATCATGAAAGTCATGGTGTTACAGCCGATTGTAATCCCGGGATGATGATACAGCTCTGGGTTGGTGACTCTCGTGACGCCTGGACCTGGTTTGCTGGCGATCTCTCGGCCTGTGATGCCTCCGCACGACTTCGTCCAGCCGCCCCGCCACGGACTCGTCGACGCTTGTTGCCTCGCGACGGTTGCGGCTGAAGCTCGTCATGCTCGAATTGAGAGCGGTCACGGCGAAGGCTTGCGTTCATTCGGCGCGTTCCCCGGCCCGCATTCTGACTAGGCTGTCGGCCCAGACCACGGCCTCGCGCTGGATACCTGCCTTGACTCCGTTATGCAGGCTCAGCTTCGGCATCGTCATCATCCGTATCGTCAGCGCCACTTCCCGACTTGGAGGAGGTGTAATCCGCGATCTTGAGGTATCGCGGGATCTTGAGCTTCTTGTTGTCGGCATTCAGACGCGGCTTGCCTCGTGCGCTTATCACAACAGCCGGGTCGCGAATATCGAGTAACTTATCGTCAGTGTTCTAGTAGGCTGTTAATACTAAAGTCTTGTAACGGTGTCAAGCCCACATACCAACGGCTTCTCGAGCCACCAACTCATAGCAATCTGGCTTCGTCGCAGAGGCGTGCCGTTCATGAGACAATCAAAGATACGGTGGCTGCAAGGCAGGCCGTATTGGTGCTCGAAGTTGCCCGTGCAGGGGCGTAGCGGTTTGGGCTCGCGCTGATCAGGCAAAGCGGCAAGGGCAAAGCGATACTGCTTGGCAATAAGGTCAATAGCCGGATATGTGATCTGGAGGTTAAGTATGCCAAGCCATTCCTGCTTGAGGTACTGATTACGCTGACGCTGAATCTGTCTCGCGGCCTCTTGACGATACGATCGAGACTTGTTATCAATCATCGTAACAAGGGCTTGGTGAAGGTAAAGGAGGTCTCCCGTGCCTGTCTCCAGGTGAGACTTGACGTCTGCATGGGCAGTCTCGGTAGGGCTATTGACCCTTTGGCCAAAGTTCCGATAGCGGTCAATGTAACACTTTACCCACTGCTTGCGCCACGGCATATATTCCCTTTGGATATATCGCAGGATGTGCCCTTGCTGGCAGCCGAAGGTTTCGACAAAGGACCTCCACGAGCCCTTGAACGTATCGTGATCAACGGCATAGACCACGGCTTGGAAGGCTTTGAACATGCCCTCACGGTTGTAGTCATCAGAGGGGTTCGCAAGCCCATCCTCTGCCTCGTCTTGTACACGGCCCCGGGCGGCGACATCAAGATCTAGCTCTCGTTGGAGCTGGTCGGCGTTCTTGTCGCTTGGATCAGCGGAAAGGGCGTTTCCGTCATTATCAGACTCAACAGGAATGTCGTCGTGATCGTCGCCATCGGTGTCCTTCCAGAGGGCGTTAATTTTAGCCCGGACGTTGGCCAAGTTGTGGTATACGCATAGCTGCTGCTGAGCACCTGGGAAGGTGTTCGTGAGGGCTGCGCGGAGAGCCTGTTCCTTGTCTGTGATGATCACCTCCGGCGTGTCTGCCCCAATGTCGATGCGAAGCTCGTCAAGCCGGTCACATAACCACTGGAAGTGGTGCTCCTTTTCGCCGTTTACAAGGCCAAAGGCGAAGTTGGCTAGAGACTTCTGATCTGTCACACCGGTGGCTTGAAATAGGTGTAACCTAAAGCGGTTGGTCTTGTAGGTGTTATCCAAACCAAGCACCTCCGGAAACTTCTTCCACATCGTGCGGCACCAGTCGTAAGTCCAAAAGACGGCACAGACGCGGTCATCTTCGTCGCGCAAGGTTCTGACTCTAATACCTCCGCTCTCAAGCTCCTTGACGAAGGCTTGGGTAGCTGTAAGGCCGTTGAGTCGCTCGCGTTTAATGGTTTGACGATCATTGTAGATGTCCCGTCTGCGGAAATAATCATAGCCTGGGCTGTCGGCTTTTCTGACAATGCTAGCCATCTCGCGGGCCCTAATGCCATTCTCGTTGGCTAGCTCCCGCTCTTTTTGTTGCTGAGCAAGCGTGCGGCGGCGATAGACAATGTGCGCAGATGGATCAAGGGACTGTCCGTGGTTATGCTGGCCTTGAACTACGGTGTACGTCCACTCCTAGTTAGACGACTTGGTGGCCTTGGCCGTGATTTTGACGGGACAATCAAGCTTCTGTGATGATGGCTTCCTGAGTCCCGAGCTTTGTGACGTCCGTCGCGGGCCGCGGTCGCACTTGAAGTCGATGTAGCTTGGCTGGATGATGCCCCCGATATCCCGCCTCGAGGAGCTAGAGGCCGTCACTACTATGCGGCGCCATTGGAAAGGTGGAAGTTGCGGAGGAAGGCAAAGAGGTCATCGTAAGTGTCAAAGAGTGGCGGCGGCAGTTGTGGGACCGTAGCCCCAGTGTAGTCATCGTCAATTGGGTCGTTGGTGGCAGTAGCTGCGGTGGCCGTAGTGGCACGGCCTGGCGAGGGACTTCGTGAGTTGAGAAGGCGGCATATGTTCATCTTGACAGACGTGATGAAACTATGTAGCAGTGGACGTCAGGATTGTGTGGTGGGGTTGACGCCCTCTATTTATGCGTAGTGAGAGATTGACGATCCTCGATTTAGCTGTTTACGTTTTCCCCATTCGGATGCACTGGAATTAACTGTCGCAGTCGTACCGTATTGGGCTATGGTGACCATGGTGGGGTGGGTGAGTCAAAGGTGAGACACAATCTGTGCAAATAGAGGTACACGAAGACGGGAAACTTCCCCGTCTGACCTTTACATCATTGGCAAGCCTACGCGCGCGCTTACACTGACCCTACGTGCGGCCACAGTGGTTTCAAGTATTTTAAGCTGACTGCCTTTGTTCAACATTTTGACGGCGTATTTTGATGCTCAACCATCTGAGCGCAGTATACAGATGGTCTCCACGACCTGTGATTTGGAAGGGGATCTGACCAAGATTGGATCAGTTTTCCGGCCTCCGTTAAGTGGGTTGGCTGCGATGCTCGCCGCCCACATTAGTTGCCCCAAGCAAACGGGAGACTCCACACCACATTCAAGCATGGCTACATCAAGAGGCAGAACAGGGCAGCTTTTCTCGCCTGGCTGTTGAAGCCACTGACTACTGTAACGTAGTCTACGGAAAGAAAAGCCATGCGATATAATATCAGGTCCCGCTCTTAATATCATTTTGTATTAGACATGTGCATCTGGTGCTTCCGTTATATGTAGGTTCTCTGTCACATCAATAAGGGATCACAAATGATCGAGCATAATGGCGCCGCTGGCGCCAATTATATTGAGTGAGAATTATCTAAGGAGCAAGAACCCTATTAAAGATGCACGGTTCCCGTGCATCTCTTTACACACAGAAGAAACCTTTGTTTATCTTGGCCTGTCAGGCAGCTGCTGTTGCTGAGATCGATGCCGAAGCTTTTCGTGACTTGCGACTTCAGGGTAAGCCTGACCATGCGATGCATTCTCTCCTGCACAAAAGAAATGGCAGTGGAGATACTTACGCTACATAATAGGACTTCATGCCTGGCGTCAGTGCTCAAATGTATGGGCCTCCATTGGACCCATGTGTGGTTGCCTAGAAGTACAATTCAGTACCCAAAAGTAAATAGGTATTACGGCTGAGCTCCACGTGACAGTGTGAATTATCATCCCGACACTGACCTCTTTCAGCGCGGCTTATGTGGCGCGATGCTGGCCACATATCTCGGGCCCTTTTTCTTTCCAACGAGGCTGGGGGTGCCTACCAAATCTGCCAACATCTTTCGAAACTGGGGCAGTGCCGTGGCACCTGCATTTCCAGTTCGCAACGGAGCGTCATTGGCTCCTCTCAATTCGAGTTGTGACGCCACGGACAAGCCAAAAGTCTCTGCTCTGCAAAATGGTGCCGCCAGCAGCTGTCTTGCACTATTGGACGCCAGCCCGAAGCCGCATGGTCAAGACAGATCAGGCACCTGCCGTCAACCCGGACGGCCGTTTCAATCAGTCTCCCAACCATCACAATAACCAACCTTTCGGCTTCGAACCTCGCCAGTCAAACACGACCTCAGCAACGCTCACAAGGTGACTAGGTTGTTGGGCCTCCAGCCGCCGCTTTAGCGACAACACGCCGTCTTGCCAGCTTTAGTATCAAGGCTCATGTGAGATTCATCCTAATGGCGACCGTGGAAGCTTCAACTCCTGTGGCAGATACCGGGCTCACCATCCTGAGTGATCCCACCGACGCGGTGATTGAGTACGGTTCGACAAGTAGTCCCGGTAGTAATAGTTCGAACTGACTTGAGCTAGTATCGTCTTCGTGCACGGCCTCCAGGGACATCCACAGAATACTTGGACGTATAGGTCGAGACCAGCTCGAAGCCAGTCCGGGCGGGACCTATCGCCCTCAACAGTCTCCAAAATCGACAAGAAACGATTTTCCGGCCTGTCAAGTAAACTCGGGAAACGCAAATACCTAGAGCCTGGACTATCTGAAGAAGTTCAAGTCGACCAGGCAGATTGCAAAGGAGAAGAGAGAGGCCAAGAAAAAGATGTCTTCTGGCCAAGAGACCTGCTCAAAAATGACTTCCCCAAGGCGAGGATCATGACATTCGGCTACAACACCAATATTTCTCAAGGCTACCATGCCGCACATCAAGGTAACATTTTCACACACGCGAGAAACCTATTATACGACTTAGAAGCAAAGAGAAGGAAGGCGGCAGACCGAGATTTGGTCTTTATCGCGCACTCGCTCGGTGGGATCTTGGTGAAAGAGGTATTGCGGCGCTCTGAGACTGATCCAGACGCAAAGATTAAAAAAGTATTCACGTCAACTACTGGGGTCTTCTTCTTTGGCACTCCGCATCGAGGAAGTGGGGACTGGGCGTCGTTCGGGGAAGGCGTTGCGGGCGTTGCGAGTCGTCTCCTGGGCGTGGACACAAATAGTCAGGTCATCCATGCGCTGGTGCCCAGTGGTCCTGAACTTGAATTGTGCCGGGAGTCGTTCACGACACAGTGGGTACAACGAGGGGATAGTCTTGTCGTAAGGACTTTTCAAGAATCGAAGGGAGTAACTGGCGTTCGATGGGGAGGATTTAATAAACTGGTACGGTAGCCTTATCGTGATTTCTCTAATAGGGCTGACCTGAACAACAGATCGTACCTCCGGATTCCTCCTCGCTAGATCATCCGAATCAGCGGGCTCGGACGATAGATGAGGACCATATAGGGATGGTCAAGTTTAAAGGAAGGGACGATAGAGCATATCAGAGTGTGAGAGAAGATATCGAAGAGCTGGTTGATCAAGCGGCAACAGGGACGAGAGGCGCATCAACTAGTTAGTGTAGCAGTATATCTACGCGGCAAGACACTACTGATATTCCGGCAGATATTGCTCGGGAAGACCGGGAATGCATCCAACACTTACGCCTCACCGATCCACGGGATGACAAGAAGCGCATCGAGAAAACTAAGGGCGGTCTGCTGGAGAGTTTGTGCCGCTGGATCTTCGACAACAACGCTTTTCAACAATGGCGTGACGACCAGCAGAGTCGAGTGCTTTGGATCAAGGGCGACCCTGGCAAGGGAAAGACGATGCTGCTCTGTGGCATCATCAACGAGTTGCAGAAGAAGGCCACGAATCAAGTGGTCTACTTCTTCTGCCAAGGCACAGACTCTCGGCTGAACAGCGCCACGGCCGTGCTGAGGGGTCTAGTCTATGTATTGGTGGACCAGCAGCCAGCGCTCGTCTCCCACATACGGAAGAAGTATGACAAGGCAGGAAAGCAACTCTTCGAGGATCTAAATGTCTGGGATGCACTGTCCGAGATATTCAAAAACATGCTGCGAGACCCGAGCCTGAAGAGCACCTACTTCATCGTCGATGCACTCGACGAATGCACAACAGACTTACGGCAACTTCTCGACCTGATCGTCCAGACGTCCTCGTCTGAATCTCGTGCCAAGTGGATTGTGTCCAGCCGTAATGAAATCAGCATAGAGCGGGGCCTGCGGCTTGGTGAATCGCGGACGAGGCTCAGTCTAGAGCTGAAAGAAAACGCGGAGCAAGTATCTCATGCCGTTGGCGAATATATCCGCCACCGCGTTTCCGAATTGGTAGAAATACAGAATGACAAACGCCTTCAAGAGCAAGTCCGGGAGAAAATGCAAGCAAGGGCCAATGGCACGTTTCTCTGGGTATCTCTCGTCATTAAAGAGCTCAAAGACGAAAACCTTATGAGCTGGGACTTCCTAAAGGTCATTGATGAAATGCCCACAGAGTTGAACGACCTGTATGGTCGAATGTTGGAGCAGATTGAACGGCTGACTCGTGGAAATCCGGAACTTTGCAGGCGTGTGCTTTCGACTGTTACTGTTGCATATCGCCCACTTCACCTCCAGGAACTCCATCTTTTGTCTAGTTTGCCTGAGCCTGCAGGGGATACGAGCGTATATCGGTCGACTGAGAAGATAGTCAGCATGTGCGGGTCATTCCTTACCATCCGAGACGAGCAAGTCTTCATCGTTCACCAATCAGCAAAAGAGTATCTGGAAGAAAACGGTGGGTCAAGGCTTCGCGCAGATGGAATTCGTCAAGTGCACATGGACCTTGGTACACGTTCCATTGAAGCAATGTCCTCGGCTCTGCGACAAAACATGTACGGTCTCGATTACGGCTTCAAGCCAGAGGATATGCGGCCCCCCCAGCCAGACCCGCTGGCTCCAATACGATACTCCTGCGTCTTCTGGGCTGACCACCTCACCGAAAACGGCGAAAGCCCCCAGTCCAAGGAGCCGCTGGGGGATGACGGAATAGTGTTTGCGTTTCTAAAGGACAGGCTCCTTCACTGGCTCGAAAGCCTGTCCCTCCTGGGAAAGCTCCCGGAAGGCACGCACTTGATAAGAAAGCTTCTGCACCATGTCCAGGTATGTTCACGACCCTATTCATTTCTTGCAGCTGCTGATCGACTCCAGGGATCAAGTGCCAGTCATCAACTTACTGAGTTCTTGGAAGATGCAGATAAGTTTGTGCGTAGCCACTCAGACATCATTGACCAGGCTCCCATGCAGACATATGGCTCCGCACTCGCATTCAGCCCATCGACAAGTAAAGTCCGGAATGCGCAATGGAATTATAGGTTGCCATTCATTCAGAACATTGCAGGCACTAGATCAGACTGGAACGTACTTCAGCAGACGCTCGAGGGTCACGGCGACTGGGTCACAGCCGTGTTTTTTTCGCCCGACGGCAAGATGCTCGCCTCGGCTTCAGTTGACACGACCGTCCGATTCTGGGACGCAGCCACAGGAAACGAACGGCAGACGCTCGAGGGACACGACGACTGGGTCACGGCCGTGGTCTTCTCGCCCGACGGCAAGACGCTTGCCTCGGCTTCAAGGGACAGGACCGTCCGTATCTGGGACGCGGCCACGGGAAACCAACGGCAGACGCTCAAGGGTCACGGACACCTTATTCTGATAGTAAGATGCTCGCCTCAGCTTCAAGCGACACGACCGTCCGGCTCTGGGACGTAGCCACAGGGAGCCAACGGCAGACGCTTAAGGGACACGCTGACTGGGTCATGGACGTGGCCTTCTCGCCCGATGGTAAGATGCTCGCCCCGGCTTCAAGGGACACGACCGTCCGTATCTGGGACGCGGCCGCGGGAAGCCAACGGCAGACGCTCGAGGGACACGGCGGCCCGGTCACGGCCGTGGCCTTCTCGCCTGATGGTAAGATGTTCGCCTCGGCTTCATACGACATGACCGTCCGACTCTGGGACGCGGCCACGGGAAACCAACGGCAGACGCTCAAGGGTCACGGACACCTTATCATGAGGGTGGCCTTCTCGCCTGACGGCAGATACCTGAGGACGGATTATGGGTCGCGCCGACTATCCTCCGCGTCTTCCTCATCTGAGGAGTGTTCTGACGACAATCCTTCTGATCATGCTTTGTATGTCAAAAATGAGTGGATAACTCTGGATGACGTGGAGAGTCTATGGCTTCCTCCTAATTACAGGGCTACTATAGTAGCCCTGTATGGGAATAAGGTTGTGTTGGGGCATCTGTCTGGCAGACTAACGTTCCTGGATATCAAATTTGCATGAAGTTCTGCGATGATACAACTAATCGTTTATTATCTATTCCTCCTTTAAAGTAGAGGGTCCTTGGAAGAGGAGTTATCTTGTACATCTTTGAGATTGCCACCAAAAGTGGGTAATAGGTCTCTGCCACCATGGCGTGGGGCGGCCTCCAGTTCAGGTTCAGGTTCAGGTTCAGGTTCTATTCCTACTCGGTTTTAGCCGCCACTACAGCAGCCATGCCCGGTAAGCAGGTCCTGGCTGACAGCCGAAGCATCCATCCTGTGAACACCCCACTTCGCCTTCTTGTTGAAACAAGGCCAGCCGTCCCCAGGTTTCCTGCTCTCTACTCCATACTCTACTTTGCTATATACATGTCTTCTGTTGGAGAATCCCATGTGCTATCCTGTCTGTTTCATTCTTCAATTTCCCCATATGTTTCCTTGAGAGTTTTCTGTTTCACATCCTCATGTTGTGGCTCCGTCGGTGCCCGAGGGCACCATGTAATGCGACCGTGACACCTGCAGTCTCCCCCAGCCATCGGCTTCATCTGTTTGCTGATCCCGCCCATGCTCCTAGGGTTCTGTTCGTGCTCTATGTTTTGTGCGTTTCTATTTTGTTGCCTCCGACAGGGTTCCTATGTGGCCATGTGTTCGTTCCGTTAACGCAACCACTGGCGACGCTGACCATAGCCAGCATCATCCACCTCATGCAGTGCAATGCTCCGCTCGTTTCGACATGATGAATTACTGAGTATGAGAGCTCCCACTACCTCAGACCTGGTTAGCCGAGCGGCAAAAGGGGACCAGTCTTCTACCGCCCTGTTTGTCTGGGGGGGAGGGGCCACAGTGGGCAAATCTGTCTGGAATCCATGATATTTTGTGGTCTTTCTGTGTGGCATGCCAGGTACCTGATGGTAGGATGCGCGGAAGGTGATACCGTTCTGTTCAGCATGTCGGCGTAGTGGGACGTCGCAAACGTTGACGAGAAGATGGGCCGACCGGCGAAGCGCTGAAGACCCATATGTGGCCATGTATCTTCTTCTTAGAGAGACAGTAATGTTGGGAATGTTTGGGCTTCGTCGTCGCACTATAGGAGGTGTGTTGTTGCCAGCTGTGGCCGCAGTCGTCGGCGGCAGATGCTTGTATTCGTTGCGTGCTCGTGAATTTCGCGCCCCCTTTCCCGCCCGCCATCGCAACAAGATCTCTGTGGAAGTCAAAACACCACAGGGGAAGATGTTATGACCCGTTGAGGCATATTGCGACCGCGGGCGGGAGTGTTATGTTCCTCGAGTGGCTGTTGCTTCAAAAATTCGTTCTCGCTGTTCTTGCCGATCTTTTTCTATCTAGAGTTGTTGCAGTTGAGCTCGCACCGAGGTTGAGCACAATTTAGTCGCTTTTTAGCATGTTTCACCCATAGCACGTGATGTGGGCCTGCTTTGGCCAACCTTTGGCTGGCGCAGCCACCGCCAATCCTCGACGTAAATATTTCAGTACTAGTCGGTAATGAAACTCCGCGAGAAAACAAAACGACCTGCTTTTGATGAGACGTGATGTCGGCCCCTGACTTATAGACAATACAACGGGGGGAAAGCACGCAGAGCACGTTGAAATGGCACCTAGATCGAGGAAACGGCGTCGAAGTTTCAATGAGGATCGTCGCGGGGGATGTCCATTTACCGTGACTACCATCACCGAGCAGCGCTCAAACCGAGCATCTAAGAAGTCGAAACAAGACGACGCCAACATGGAAGAAAGCCAACGGACCCAGCTCTGGCCCTTCAATCCCGAAGGAAAATTCAATTCGATGCAAAGTATGAGCCTACCTTACATCGTAGAGCCACGGAAGCGGTGGCGAGCGATGACGCCATATCACAACTTTATTCGTAAGCTGCAGAAACACCCCTAACAAATAAGGAGACATCACATAAGGCTGACTCAAAGGATGGTAATCTGTTCTCACAGTAAACGGGCGTAAATACTCAACGCACGATTTCGTATACGTCGCCAACGATGATTCGATCGAGGCCCAGAAGATAGCAAGTAGAGAGGAAGACGGAGGGTCATTGCCACGGTTAACCAAGTATTGGGTGGCTAAAATCCTGGAGATCAGGGCCGCTGACGAACACCATGTGTATGCCCGGATCTATTGGATGTATTCTCCTGACGAATTGCCCCCTAATACTCGATATGGTGAGGAGAGCATTGAAGGTCGGCAGACATACCATGGGAAAAACGAGCTAATAGCTTCGAATCATAGTATGCTGTGGGCATCAGAAAGGTGGAGCGGAGATTTTGGGAAAAGCAACGGAGAATGAATTGGCGCACGATAATCAGTACTTTGTTGACCGCTTACTCGGAAAATGGCGTCACAGGGGCAAAGTCTGGTTCTACTTGAGGTGGAATGATGGAAGTTACGGATTCGAGGAGGAAGTGGACATTAACGAAGACCTTCGAAAGGATTTCGAAACAAAAGCCTTCACGGGATTTCACGAAGGCGCTCATGTAAAGCGTGTAAGAGTACGGAATGGCAAGACAAGCTACTTGACAGGGTTTCTAGGATGCATGGAGGAGTGGGAACTTCCAGTGCAGGCCCTCCATCCGGACTTAGTTGCCAGACATAAGCCAACTAAGAGGGGCAAAGGTAAATCGAAGAGGGGTGGAAGGAGGTCCAGATAGTTTAAGCTTCAACACAATTGCGCGGATCCTAAATTTCACATGCTTATTTGCACTACTTACGAGTTCGAGTCTACAGTACTAGATACAACAGTTGCCTCTAGACCTGGCCTGCGTAAAATACCTTGCTCTGTCTTCCTCTGGCTCTTGTGATGTTCCGAGATTTCCAACGCGTCAACATGCCTAGTGCTTCATAGCACTCCTAGCAGACAAGAAAATTTCCATTGGGTGGCCTCTGTCTCTGTTAGAAATGGCCTTTTGACTGAAGATCAGAAGTTGGTCCGCCCGAAGTAGTTTACGTGTGGTGACATGCGGATTAGCACGCTACGGTGGATTCGGGCCACCAAGAGATGCCCCGGCTGCGGAGATAATTAGGTTAATTGGAACTGGGGAGATCAAGGTCGAATCAGGCATACAAATTTGTATGTACATGGCCAGTTTAGGCTAGTTACGGTTGCAGTGGAGGTGTCGTTCAGGATGGTTACAACTGTTCACAATTCGGCGGGCTTTGGCCTCTAACGCAGAAATACAGTCCCTGCTTTATTGGCACTTTGTCTTCCTGCCGTCATTCCCTGATTAAAGGGATACTTAGAAGCAAACTGGAATAGGCCAGCTCGAGGGGAGCACTGCGCCAGCGTTTACCATTGAATTCTCCCATCTGAAGCCAGTGAGGTCAGTTTACGCGGTGATTCTATCATCCGAAAGCATCTGTTTCAGAAATAACTGGCCAAAATTGGCAGCACCTATATTAAAGGCGGTTTAGGCTAGTTACAGCCTTTGTATGGAGCATGACACAAAACGTCTGGTGAGGCAACTTGCCTTGTAAGCCAGTTTTGGCGGAATGTAGCCTAATTTGGGCTAAACCCTGAACTTAAAATGTATACAAACTGAACATGAACCCTGCTGCGATGAGACAATAATGTATTAATGTTATCGGAAACACTGGCGTTGGGTTCTCTTTTCAAACAGGAAGCCAAAGCGCATCTATTGCTAAATATTGACTGAAATCAAGCACACCCCGGTTAAGACTGATTAAAGACAACATAGGCATAGAGTTTTGTCTTATTCGTCAACAATTCTACCATTGAGTTACAAGTGCTTTCGAAAATACTTCGATCAAATGCGCGATAAAAAAAGTACCCTTTCTGCAGTTACCACACTAGAGCAGCAAAAGAGCTCGTACAAACAACAGCATTAATGCTCCTGAATCCCCTCTGGACGCGTAGCTGACCCAATGTAAAATTACCCAGCGTTCCTGCTCGCAATCGGACTTCCAGAGCATCCACACTACTGCATAACAGCTTGCGGGCCAGTTATCCGACCCTCATGTATTCTGGTGGCCCTTGCTCTTGCTTGCTGTACATCGGCGGAGCGACGGAACTAGCAGGTTCATTCATACTGGTAGGGCTTCCCGTAGTGAGCAAAGTTCCATTTGTGCTGAAAGCTGCATTGAAGGGCATGTATATTCTCAATGGCACTACTGCACGGATCTGGAATACAGGTTAATGACAAAAATCTTGTTTATGTATGAGAGGAAAACCCCAGTCAATCACCTTCAATTCATGCCCATCCAGTTCATTCACAAGCATGATTACTTCCACCTCATGTCTCACTATGACTTCATTGTAGGCAAGATTTTGCACACAATCGCCAAGCCTTCTCGGTAGGGCTACTGAAGCGCTATACATCCAACCTTTTCCAACCGAACTTAGCGTAATATCTCGCTGGATTGTCGAGTTCGTTGTAATACACTTTCTGGCTTTTGTAGGGGGGCTCGGGCGATTTTCGATTGAAATATCGCGAATTTCAATTATCCTCAACACAACATCTCCGAGTGTTATCCCGGATTCGAGGGGATAGGCGCATAGATTGAGTTGAACCGTGCCACCGAAGCTTACAGCCTTAGGAAAAATACTGATAGAATATTTAAGCTTATCGTCCCATGTGAGCTCTCCGCCTGCAGATTGAAGTGGGTCGAGAGCATCTAACGCAGGAGTGCGTATGATGCGAAGATTTCTGCAACCATTCAACATAAGCGTCCCTTTGTCCACAACAATAGCATCAACTCGATATATCAAAGATATTTCCGCTAAACCTTCAATGCTTTCGGCTAAATCGCTCGGTAGACAAAACTCGAAAGGGTACTTGTAGTTCCCGATTGGCAACAGTAGACCACTACCTTTAGGCCAGAGATGTTCTGAGACAATCTCTACTGATCTTGAGTTTGTACTTCGAAAGCCTTGGCGAAGTCTGTGCCACAAGGGGCGAGCTTTGTTCGATATGTTTAATATAGCCAAGACGCGCAGGTAGATATCCTCAATGAATCCTGGTGCCTTAAGACAGATATCAACAAAACCAGTAAGAACTTGTCCAGCGGACTCATCAATGTTGCCCCGGAATACGATGGTGTCGTTATCGAAACTTGTAGGGACGCATGGACAGGTTAGCTGGGAGCGAACTTTGTCAGGATCCGGACAATCTCACTGTATAGCACACGACATCGTACTCTCGCCACTTCGGTGAATGGCGTTATTGTGAAAGCAGTGTACGAGGAGAAATCGGCTCACAAGGTCGTAGAATAAAGCTCCAAACATATAGTTCAATGTTGACACACCGTTATTTAGAATACGAAAAAGGTGACTTTAAAAGTTGGCACGAATACACGCGGATGGAATGTATTGTCGCTATAGGTTGTAGAATTTCGTTGGCACTTAGAGAAATCTCACAGCGTCCAGTTTCAGATGCACACTGCACCCTTATAGAGAGGCAAACGATGGGAGATATTTTGGGCTCTAAATCCAACATATGTGGAGGCAATAACATAGTGCAGAGAGCCCTGAACTTGTCAAATTCGATCGACTCACACCTCCTTGGATAGAGGAACTGGGGAGGGTATTGACCCATTCGACTGGATCTCGAATCTCCATTTGTTGCAATATTCACAACTTAATATCGCGTGTAGCATCATGTGTAGACCCGCAATAGGGTGAGACACCACGGATAGATATCGTGACTACCAACGCTCCCCCTTGTTTCCTCCCTTGAAGAAGAGACAGATTTGAATTGACTTTTATTGATAAGCTACCCCTATTGCAGTACTGCATTATCCCTTTGAGGATCCAACACCATTAACATTAAAATCCCAGTGAAACAAATATACGCACTATGATCCTACAAAATGACCAAACTACGGAGATACATACTACAGACTTACCAGGACGATATCCGCAAAGAGAAGTATAGCAGTCGAATCGACGAATACAAGGGGTGCCATTCGAGAGGCAGTTCAATGTGTGCGTGCGGCTGTCAGACAAGCGGCCAAGCATATGTTCCGGGCCAGTCACGAATATACCTGATAGTTGTATCTGGGAGGAGGATAGCATATGCGAATCGCCCGGTCCATTCGCGAAGGGCCTGGGCCAACCACGAATATCCACATCCGGCACTGGCCCGGTCCAGTCGCGAATGCAAAGTAGTGGTGTGTGCCTAGATTAATGTCTTGACAGACTGACCATCTACTTCCCTACTTCCTTGACTTCCTGCATACTATACAACCAATGGGTCAAAATGGAACCAACAATTGCTCTGATAAATCCATTTCCAAATGATGTTCGGAGTGCATTCAAAGCCTACATTCAGAGCCTAGCGTACACCAATAGAGAGCGCATAGAATATACCAAATGGCGGGAGTCGCATATCTTCCTTGATAATCCCCACCGCACATAGAGCTTTCTCCGGATTTGAACTGATCAACAACCGGTTACATCGCAGGCCAGATTCTAAGCATCCAGACCCACGATATGTGGTTCCTGAGAATGAAACTTTTGATACAGTTGCCAACTAGCATTTACAACTACTTCATGCTGGAAAGAATAAGACTTGGGAAGCGGTGCAGCAAAAGTTTTATGGTATTGCTCGTGCAGATGTTGAATTTGTTACTAAACGTTGCAAGAACTGCGCACTTAATCGACCAGCTGCGGCGAAGGCTCTATTGGTTCCCATTGTTACTAGTCGGGCTTGGGAGCGTGTGCAGGCTGATCTGATTGATATGCGACATGAACCATCAGGTCAATATAAGTGGATTCTGCATATCAAAGATCACTTTTCCAAGTATACCCAGCTATACCCATTGAAAAGTAAGCACGCAGAGCCAAAGGAGTTTGCTCGCTTCATTGCCGCCTTCCTGCCTCCTAAGATTGTCCAAACCGACAATGGAAAAGAGTTTTAAAGGAGCCTTATTGATCTTACTGCGTAAGTATGGGATCCAGATTATTAACGGAGCGCCGAGATCGCCCCAAACCTAAGGCTTGGTTGAGCAAGCCAACGGAGTAGTGGAAGCAAAAGCTTAGAGCTTGGAAAATGGATAACGGATCTACAGAGTGGGCCAACGGAATCATGGAAGTTACGTTGGCAATGAACACTCAGAACCATTCTACTATTGGGTGTGCTCCTGTGGAGCTGCTCTTTAGGGAGCGTACTTCCTATATTGACTGGCTAAATCAGCAACAGCGAGTAGATCTTACCGTTGGCATCGCTCAGGAAGACTCTACCCAACCTCCGATCTATACCCTCAGCCCCAGCCTCCCACTCCCAGCCCGGCAATCAATTTTGGGGTTGGTCCAGGCAGTTCCCAGATTACCATGCATATAAGCCCAGAAGCGGCTTTAGGTTCCGAAATCAACATGCGCATATCACCACTAACTCAGGGCTCTCCGACTTACGAGTCGGAGAAGAAGCAGACGAGCCGGCAGAATACAGATCAAGTAATCGCAAAAGCTCAGAAGGCAACCCAGAGAGCAAAGCTTTGAATGATGCAGAAGGACTCTAAGCAGCACACAATCCAACACTTTGATATTGGAGATATTATTTCTATCAAGGTTCCCAGAGAAGATCGAACCTCTACAGACAACCGGCGACTATTTGGGCGTATTCTAGAAGAGCCCTACGCCTATAGATACAGGATTTTAACTACTTCAGGAGTTATTAAGCGATTAATACCCACT